ACTGTAACTTCACTCACTTCCCTGTCCGCAGGAAGAAGTAACAACATTGCACTTTAAAATTATGAAATAGCCAAAATACTCAAGGTCTTAAGTTTGCAGCAATAAAAATAATTTAAAAAAAAAAAAAAAACAAAAACCCACACCATTTTAAAGAAACATGCCTCAAACATCAGCTTTGGAAGTATGAAAACATTCCAAATAGCTCACACTTGAGCTGTCTAATGTCCGTTTGGAGAAATAAAAAAGTTATTTTTAATGCCAGATGCAGTACAAATGATGCAAGCATATAATTAAGTCTTAAGAACCAAGATAGATACATATCATGTGGGCTGTTTTAAGATAAGCAATTTCAAAATACAAACATAGTGCAACCATGAATTGTAGAATGCCGTCCATTACTTAATCAGATCCTAAAAACCCCTTCATACGAACACTGAGCTCCAGCAGCATGCAGAAAAATACCGATCTTGAAGTCAGTGGTTCATTCCCAGCTACCCAATAGCTGCTCCAATTCTTACTTCAAATCTCCCAGCTTCCAAACACCCTCAAAAAGGGCTAGAAAACCAGCTGAGTCCATAACACAATTTGCAATAAGTTAACCGACTCAAACTTGTTCTGCTTTAACAGACAGTATGCCAGATAATTGGCAAATAATAAGAAATGTAAACCGTATTAAAAAAAAACATAAAGGAACAGCTGAGACATAAATTTACAGAAACTGGAGAGGCTTCCCACTTCCCGGAATGGTTTGCAGATGTCTCATGGTACCAATTCCCAGTTTCTCAATTCCCAACACTGCCATTACATTAAGCAAACGCTGTAATTATTTTAAAAGCAATTCTCCTTTGTTTTGATGAAAATAAATAGAGCCAAAATGTTTCCAAAATTGTTTAAAAAAAAAAAAAAAAAAAAAAAACACTTTACTATACGTAGGCTGGTCTGCTGAAATGTTTTCCTGATCAATTATTTTTCAAGCAGCCTGGCACAATTAAAACTGAGAATATTTAATTAGAGATTAGTAGAAAATTAGCATCTATGTCAACACTGAAGGGACAAAGTCATTATATGATCATTCACACTGTCCAGAAGTGTTTTTAAGCAAGTAACACCTACAATTACAAGAAAAGTGAAAGAATGGTGTCACTGTGCACTTGTTTTGTACGCTAAATAAAAGCACTGATAGTCACAGCTAATTTTGTCAACACATGTGACCTTTGCACAAAGGAAATTGCATTTTTTACATCAGGTGGAAGGCCTGCTAAACCACAGAAGGTAACAGAGACCCAGAACTGCTATACTGCATCAATCTACTTCATTTCTCTTGGAACTGATTTCATAATCAATACTGTTAATTGAACATGCTTCAAATTTTGTCTATAGGGTATGACAAACTGATTCAAATCAATGAATAAGAATTTACAAATACCTAAAAACCAGTTACATCAACTGAAATCTGCATGGAAGTCAAAAAATCATAGCTTATGAAACAAAGGTTTGCCGCTGAAAAAAGTCCACTTTGGCAAAACACTGGGATTAAAAAAAAAAAAAAAAAAAAAAAAAGACTAAAAAATAAAGAGAAAAAGCAAATCGTTTGCAGTTCATTCCCAATTCAACATACATTCCCCCCTCCCTGTGTAATTAAACCTCACCTCTTGTGAGAACTAACATCCTTCTGACAGAAAGAGACATCACAATACCAGCGAGTTTGGGTTGTTTTTTTGGGGTTTTTTTGGGTTTTTTTTTGTCCAATTTGTGTTTTTGGCTCCTTCACATTAACGTTGTTGTCAACTCCAGTGCACAGCTGTGTGCACTTTCACCTAAATGAGACAAGCTGCATTGGATTTGCAGAGTTTCAGCAGGCTCAAAAGGAGACATCACTTAATTCACCTCTTCCCTAAAATCACACTAGCTGCAAACTATTATCTTTCAAGCTCTTTTTTCTGCAAAATAAACACAAAATGTTTCGACAACAGCAAATTCTATCCCTTTGTCATAATACTAACAGCACGTACACAATTACATAGAAGTTTGATTTTTTTTCTGGCTTATCACACATCAAATACATGGAGCAACAAAACCGTATTCCTGACCTTTAGACGGTATCTTCAATACTCCATAAATATTGTATAGATCTGATGTCATATCTGCTCTTTTGATCTGTTACACCCAGCAGCAGGAACCAGTTTAGTTCAGGGTGCTACAGTCATATACCCTATACAGCAAAACTACTGAAAAGGTGGACTCCAGTCCAGACCTGGAGAAGGAATAAAACCCACAGCCACATTAAAGCTCCGGACATGAAGCTTCCTTCATCCTTTAAAAAGATTCTGGATTTCTTACCGCTCGCTCTGCCAGGGTGTGGCTTTGTTAGACCACAGCTCCCACTGCTAAGGCTCCATGACATCTCCTGGCTGGCCTGGAAGGGCCTGAGCCAGCACACAGCATCCTGCCGAGGGAAACCCCCTAAGAACTGGAGCAGCACCTCACAGTGCTGAGACACCAAACTCAAGCCCTCACCAGAGCCCTCTCGCTAAACACAAGCTCAGGAAAAGAAGGGAGCAATTCCCTCCACACTCGCAAGCTGAGAGAGAGCCTCCCAGGACTGGCACACTACTCCTGCCACCCTATAACCACAGGCAACCAGGGAGCACTGCCAAAGAGGTGCTGCTTCAGCCTTCTGCTCAAAGGGTGCAGTAGCAAATGCACTGCTCTTGCAGTGTACGGAGCACTGATGTTTCTGCCTCTGTGAAGGATTCCTTTCAAAACATGACTCAGTGGCTTTCCTAGCTATTCCTGCACATACATCTTGCATTGCTTTCCAATGCACTGGCTCCAAGATTCTTAAATCAGTTATGATTTCATAATTATGGAGTTAGGGTCTTTGTTAGCTCCGTGCAAAAAAAGAAAAATTTCATTACTATCACTGCAAAAGCCATTAATTAAGTGTACATATATATGTCTACACTTCCTACAATAAAAATGACCATTACATGAAATTTCAGTGGCCTACTAGATTAATTACTCCAAACCTTCCCTTCCACCACAGATATTACAGAACTTATAATGCTTCACACACACACACAGAACTAAGTAATGAACATTTTATAAATAACAACTTTTTACTTACTGATAACAGTAACTGAAACATACACACATTCCCCAAAAGAAAAAAGCACAAACAAATCTGAATCTTGAGCAAGCCAAGAAATGCCTTTGAAAGATTTTTGCACTGCACAGTAACATTTTAATCCTTCTTACGTAGCCATCTCCTTCTCTCAGTGACAAGTTTCACAAAGAGCAAGCTCCATAAATTAGCGTGCAATTCATCAATGTCCAAAGCACTGTCAGAAAACAGAGCTGCAATATCAAAATATTTGCCAGTTTCAATTTGTGATGGCATTGGGTTTTGTATTTGTGTTAATACTCACTGCATGGAATCATATGCCGATACAGCAAGAGGATGAGTGTTCCCAAAAATGTACTTTGAAAATATCAAAATGCCCAATAACTTCAGTTACCTTCAGTTACCTGACACAGAGCGTAGACGCAAATAAATGTGTGGGGAAAAAAAAAAAGGCGCTGTATTCAAAAAGGCCTCAAAAACTTCAATAACATGCTGAACTGTGACCCGCACTGCTTCGTTTTACAGTATGTGAAACCCAACGGGAGGTAGAGATGCTGTGAGACAGGCAACCTCAGTGATACCATGTCTTTATTTTCTGAGCGGCATCCTTAGGCTCTATCCCATATGTGATTCCCTGCGACGTTTCCGGCAGCCTCGGCAGCACACAGGGATGAATCCCGGCCCATCACACTTAACGTACAAAACATAACCGCCGTGACACATCACTCCTCGACCTTTCTGATTTATTCAGGAAATAAATACCTGAATGAATAACTCTGAAAACCCAACCGAAGCAGCGTGGGTTTTTAAATGCAAACACAAAGAAGGTCGCACTCGGCTTCGCGTTCCTTCCTTCCACCCTCCCCCACGTCCTGACACCGAGCCTTTCCAATTAGGCCACAAACAAACACCCAAAGCCCAGCGAGGGCCCGGGCCGCCGCGGGGCCGCGACTTCGGCTAGAAATCCTCCACGTGTAAACGGGAGCGCAGAGGCCGGACACCACAAAGGGGCGAACAAAGTGTCAAACGCTCGGCTGCTGTCAGTAGCGGGGAGCGGCGGAGCGCCGGGCAGCGCCGCGCGGAGCCCCCGGCAGCTTGCGGGCCTTTGTCAGCGCGGTGCGGAGCGCGGCGCGGCGCGTGCTACAGGTTGATAAGGCCCCGCCCGGCCGCGGGCAGCGCCCGGACACCGCGCGCGGAGGTCCTTCCTTTCCGCGCTCGGCCGGGCCGCGCGCTCCGCACGACGCGCACGTCTCTTCGCGGTGTTTGTTTCGTGTTTATCTCCCCCCCACCCCACCCCCCCTCCTTTCTCCTCCCTGTCCGGCCATCTTGGGCCGGCAGGAGCAGCCATTACTTAACTCAATGACAGGGCCAACAACTTTTCGCGGACGCGAACGCCGCTCCGCGAGGCCGGGCGGGCTCCCGACGAGCCGCCCGGCAGCGGGGATGCGGGGGAGGACCGCGAGAGAGCGGCCGGCATGCCGCGAGTTCGGGGCCGGGAGTCGCGCTCCCCTTCGGCGGCGCTTTCCGCGCCCCTTCCAACTCCCAACTTCTCCCCCGGCGCTCCGCGGCCGCGCGGGGCCCAAATCGCGAGGGAGGGTCCGGGGAGAGGGCAACGTCAGCAACGCCTCGCGGGCGCCCTCCCCCCGCCGCCTCCTCCTCCTCCC